CCTCCCCCTAACCCACATCCTCTGAGCATCGCCACCTTTCCTGTCCTGCCCCATCCTCTCCTGAACATGTATCCAGAAGTCACCTTGGTGTGTCTCTCAAAGGTGCCAATCTGTTGCCCTGAAACAGACCCATCCTCCAAGCCATCCCGGAGTCGCTGTTCCAGCCACATCTGGACCGAGTCCCGAGCATCCTTATCACCTCCATCTAGGGAGAAAGAAGCAAGAGTGAGAGCAGCACAGCTCAGGAAAGCCGTTCACTACCATCATTTCCCCCAGAGCACCACGCAACAAGGAGGCAGAACCCGTTCTTTTTGGCAACTCTCGCTGCCAAACAAGAAAAACGTTGTTTCAAGTACACTGACATCTCGGACGCTTTCAAAGGATGACAGAGCCAAAGAGCTCCCCGCTGCAGAAATTCTGCAGGGTCAGAATTTCCCAACCTCCATGTTTTTCAGGGGGGTTTCAGCTCAGATACCTTTGTCGTAGTAGATGCTCATGTCCACATCCCAATCGTCCGCCGTCTGCTCATCAAAGTCTGCCGAGAGAAGGAAAGCACCGGTTTTAGTGATGGTTGTGGAAGTCTGCCAAGGAAAAGCTGTTTGCTGGTGGCCCAGCTCACTATTTTCTCTAACAAAATGGGAAGGAAACAGTATTAGAGACCCCACAAACCACAGCGCTTAGATGACAGGTTGCCAGTAAGACCACTGGGGTGTCTGGTGACTGGATCGAACCACGGCAGGTTTTGTGATCAAGGGAAGGTTTAAAAAGTGATGGCAAGATGCCTGTATCTGTAGCTGATCTGGAATGCTCATACGGGGCTATACCTGATTTATCCGCAAGGCCGGGGTCCCCAGCTCATGGTGCTTAGTTTGTGGCTCAGCGACACAAACACCAACGTTACCTCCATTCTGCTCCTGCCAGTACTGAGCATCCGTGTAGAAGACAAGGCCAGAGCCGCCTTTCTCCCACTTCAGCTCAATCTCCTCTTCAAAGAGCCGCTCCTCCACACGGTCCTGCTTGGTCACATCCTCGTGCAGAGCCTCGTGTCGCTCCCATTCCTCACAGGTGTCCTGCAAAGGAGCCGGTGAAAGGTGGGTGACACCAACAGCACACAGCCTCCTCCCTGTTTCCCTGACCCTCGCGGCCCATCGCAACGCCTTCCCTATGAAACAGCTTTGTCAACAGAGCTCGTCTCAGCCTGCTGTTTTCAGGCACTAACACGACCAGCACTGATGACCTCATTCCCCTGACTAATGCCATCTTCAGAGTCAGCAGACAGAAGTGGTGAAAAATACCACATCACACCCACTTCACAGCATGCTTTCAGCAGCGTACCCAATCTGTAACGCTAAGATGCCCATTTAAGGAGCAGGTGTGTTGTACGTAAAGTCAGCACTAGCAACAAATTAATTCCACTCAAGCTGATCCCTAAAGAGATTGTGTTGGTTCCAGTGAAGCAGCTTGCTGGCACAGACACAGATCAGACTGACAGCTTTACTGCTGCCTGCCCAATTCTGGGCACAGCCCTCCAAGGAAGACATTAACAAACTAAGGAACAGCCAAAAGAATCACTACAGATCCAGGAAACAGAGCCTGTGAGAAACAGCTAGAGGAGTCTGTTTAGTCTGGAGAAGAAAAGACTGAATTAAAAGTTTGCAAAGGAGGGAACAAAGCGTTCTCTATGTCCGCTGTTGCTAGGAGAACCTAATGGGATAAAATTGCAGCAAAGATTTGGCATCTAAGTTAATTCTGGTATAGCAAAGAACGGGAATGGCTTGCCTCAGGATTGTGCTGCCTCTGTAATGACAGAGGTTTTGAGAACAGGCTAGACAGGCGTCTGTCAGGTGGAGGGAGCGAGATAATCTCTGGAGAGCCTGTCCAGCCCAGTTTTCTAGGAGTCTTTGTCACGAAAGCCATTTTTCTCAGAACGACTAACTTCAATCACAGGAGCATTCAAGGTCAACCATTTGTACAGCTCCGCATGTCGTTTCCAGCACACGAACGTGCTCCCGAATCTCCGGTCACCTCATTCACAAGCAACAGCAGAGTTGGGTCAATCTGTCACGCAGCAGGGCAGAGACCTGCTCCTGCACCACCAGCCTCTGCCTGTGCTCGCTCCTCTGGACCAAACCCTTTGGGCTCAACCCCTACAACTGGCTTGATTTGGGCAAGCAGTTTGGGGCATTAATGCCCACACTGTTCATGCGCCAAGGGGCTCAGTGCACCAAGACGCGAACAACTGTATTTTAACACCATTTTTAGACAAGCGATTTATACAATACAATTAAAAAATTAAAAATGAGCTCTGAGAGAGTTATATCGGCCTGCACAGCTTTGCAGCTGTAATGGCTAACCTTGGACGGTGCTAGAAAAATCCACTTACGTCATCCGAGTGCGACTCCTCTTCCTCCTTCTCCTGCCCCTCCTCATCTTCCTCAGCACTGGCTGGGTGAGTCACCTCAGATCTTGCCGCAGGCCCCTCTTCCTCTGTGATCTCATCCCCTGTAGCAGTGTAAACTCTTTCTTCTTTTATAACTGTCTCAGTGTCCTGGTATTCAAAAGGCACATTCCCATACCTACGGGATGAGCCTGTCCTTGGAAAATCCAGCTGCAATTTCTTGATAATCCGGGGAGGCAGCCTGCAGGCCCGGATCAGCTCCAGAAAAACTTTCAGAGGAGTGCCCACGTTCCCGTAAGGCATGAAGGAAGGGGGGTTGAACTCTGGCAGCCGCTTCAAGTCCGCTTCTGCAACAGATTCACCTGCGGCCGTCTTGTCCCCGCTGTAGAGAGATGTCTCTGTGCCTGGAGGAGAGAAGGAATGGTTTTGTGGGGGAACACACGCTCCAGCAGAGAGGGGTAAATCAGGCAGGAGGGGGATGAGCACACCCCAAACAGATTCTTCTTGCCTCATAATGGATTCAAGGCATTGAGGAAACTCCGTGAGGGCTTTTAACCTCCCGGTGCCCTCGGGTTGCCTGCTGGGACCCGTAGAGGCGGGATCCAGTGCCCAACGGGTCCTCCAGACCCTCCCAGGCCCATGAGGAGGAGCGATGCCCGACCCTCCCCCCCGGTTCCCGCTCGTACCTGTCCCGGGGCTGAGACGGACCCTTCGGATGAGGCAGCGGCCGGGCAGCGAGGCGCCGCCGGGCCCGACCCAGCGCTTGCCCGAGTACATGCGGACGAGGCGGCGGGCGCGGCCGGGCTGCACGGCCACCAGGCAGGAGCAAGTGCGCGGCGGCGCCGCGGGCTCCCCGCCGCCGCTCCCCGGTAGGCGCTCGGGGCGGTGGCGGTAGTGGAAGCAGAGGAAGCCTCCGGCCTCCACGAACTGGCTGAAATAAGCGCGGAGCTGGGCGGAACGCAGCGCGGCCGGGATACCGCTCACCAAACAGTAGCGGGCGGCGGCAGCACCGCCATTACCGGCGCTACAGCTGGGCGCCGCCATCTTGCCTCACCGGGACGGCGCGTCACGGCCGTTTGGGCGCGCGGTGATGACGTCAACTCCCGGTGCGCGGAGCGGGCGCCCCCTGGGTGCGGGGGAGGGGGCCGCAGGCCGGGGGGGGCGAGGGGGGGTCTTGGGGGCGGCCAGGGCCCGGCGGGGGGGGCACAGGCCCCGGGGACAGCCAGGTCCCCCCCGATGGGGGTCACAGGCCCTGGGGGTGTCAGGGCGCTGGGGGTGGCCAGGCCTCAATGGAGGTCGCAGGCCATGGGGGTGGCAGGGGGGGGGCAGGCCCCGAGGAGGGGCACAGGCCCTGGGGACAGCCAGGCCCCCCCCCATGGGGGTCACAGGCCGTGGGGGTGTCCAGGCCTCAATGGAGGTCACAGGCCATGGGGGTAGCAGGGGCTGGCCAGGCTCCGGGGGGGGGTGTCACAGACCCTGGGGGTGTCAGGGTGCTGGGGGTGGCCAGCCCCCCCCCAGTGCCACGCAGCGTAGCCTCATGCAAGGGGTCCTGGCTTTTCCCTCTTGGTAAAGTCCCAGTGCTGTGTGTCCCACGATGGAGGGGTGGCCCTGCGGTGTCAGACCTGCCTTATGGGCAGCGACACGGGCAGGTGCCACACCGGGACCCCCGGTCCCCAGGGGGCTGGTGGGACCCGTGGCAGGACGGAGGTGCCAGGGGCTCTCACCTGTGCCAAGGTGTCTGCGTGCCAGGTTTGGGGTAATTCTGGCAGTGGGGCTGTTCGGCATCCCGTGCGCCGTGACTCATGCACGCATCACCGGGCTGCGTGGCTCAGGGCTGCCCATGGCTGGCACAGGCCTGCGGAAATCGTCCGGTGACTCATGTGTTCTCTCCCTATGGAAAATGGCCGTCACGGAGCTGAGGTCACCTTGGAAGCCGTCTGTCACCGTTCAGCAGCAGCGGTGAGAGGTGGAGGGACAGACTGACGAAGCAGTCCTTCCTCCCACCGGGCTGCTGGCTAACAGTCAAGGTGTTACCATGGGTAGGAGGGTGATGGGGCACAGGGAGGTTTCGTGCAGGTTTATCCGACGCCTCGGCTGGGTTGGGCATGGCAAATGGGATGGTGTTGCTGCCTGTTGGCAACTGCGTGCGCGTCCAGGTGAGTCAGAGCATCCACCTCCGACGTGGTGGCTGCACCGGGAGCCCTAGGGCGAGGCTCAATGCCTGGAGAAAGGTGCAGTGCGTGGACAGGCTGCGATTCCGCTGCCTCTGCGAAATTCCATCTGCTGGGCACACCAAGGGTTTTTGTGCCGCGGGGCTGTTCATCAGACAGCTCCCGCTGGCGGTGATCGACATGTGTCCACATCGCAACGCTCCCTCGCCACAGCAAGGCAGACAGATTTTTATGGAAAGCCCCTTTTCATTTGAGTGTTCTTTCCACACCAGGCCTGCAGCCGGTTTTTCTAACCCCCCAGAAATTTAACACCATCTCTAAAAAGTCACCACCATGTTCCATAATGTAAAACCTTTTATTAAAAAAATAATTTACTGCATCTTATATACAAACCGCAAGAATGTTCACTTATAAAATACTGACATCTAACTTGTTGCAGAAGCTGCAGGCAGGAGGAGCAAGCTTTCCAGGCATGCTACGCTTGCACCTGGCTGTAACTCCAGGGAGGGACATTTGGTTGTACCACCAAACAAGCTCCGCTCATCTCTGCAGCGTTCACAGCTCAGGGTTCACTTATTGTCACACAAACAGAGGTAAGCCTACAGCCCAAAATGATGTGCAATAGGTTTAGGTGGTCTTAGGTAACCCATTGCCCTGCGAGCAGTCCTGTTGTATTTCATGGCATTGCGGAGAAAAGAAACAATCTAAGAAAAAGTAAGAGGGGTGAATCTGTACACCCTGTAAGATTTAATACTCTGGCTTTTTCCCTCTTGGTGCCTGAGGAAGATCTTTCATGAATATTTCTAAGATTTCAAGCACAATAGACAGACCAAGACTTCACCCAGACCTAATTCCCTAATGTTTGCACTTGGTAAGCGACACCACTGAAGACATGTTTTTCAGTGTGCCTAAACACCTCAGAATCAAGCTGTTAGTTGAGGACAAACCTCATCTCTTGGAGTCAACAGCAAAATGCACATTGATTTCAATAGGACCAAGGATTTGTTGAGTAAAAACCAGGACCGGGCTCTAACCCGACCCGCTCTGTGCTCTGTTTGCAGTTGGCTGGTGGCTCTGGCTACAAACAGGGAAAGAAACCCCTCACCCACACACACGATCCCTGAAACGGAGACGGGCACAGGTGGAGCAGGAGCTGCTGTAAACATCTGCTGAACCAGAGCCGTTTCTCCATGCGCTCTGCTGCAGCCTGGCTGAATCCCCTGACCTCAGCCCTACCGAAACGCGCAATTCCCCGCAGAGTCCAGAGCACTTCTCTCGCTAAATCCCCGCTCCCAGATTCGCTTTGCTGCCCGCCGAGGCATGGGGAGCATCCACGGGGCCAGCGGGCAAGCACGGTTGCTCAGCAAGCCACGTGTGCCGCAGGAGCCAGCTGCCCGCCGGTTATTTCGTACAGCATTTCTGCGATGAGCTCGACGATGTCAGCGTTGCCGATGACAGGTCGGAAGAAGAGATCTGTGATGAGGGTGGGAGGGATCGATTTTAAGGTGGAGGTGATCAGCAAAATGCGGGCAAAGCGGCCCTGGTCCTTGGGGTGCAGGGGCTGCAGGACCTCCTGAAGCGCTCTCTGGGCTTCCCGCTGGAGGCTCTCGATGTACAGGGAGGCCCTCAGCCCAGGGACATCTGCCGAGGGAGAGGAGGAAAAGCCAGTGATGAGAGAGGCTGGAAAACAGCCCCAGGTTTCTCCCATTCCCACCCTTCCCCCTCCCCATTTCTCAGAAGGGATCTCCAAGGCCCCGCTAATGAGATGTATGCAGCGCTACCGAGACGTAGCTATTCCAGGGCTGCCTTTTGAGGGTGGAAAAGTAGTTAACTGGGCAAACTCATGCTTTACAACGTAAATCCCAGGGTCCTTTATCATCTGCAGGGCAGGCAAAGGTCTCTGGCTTTTACCACTACATTTGACATCCCTCCTCCCCGCTACCTGGCACATTTGGTAACAATTGGTGTTAAGGATAAGGTAACCAGCCCTCTCTGCTCTCATGCCTGCCCACGGTCTGAATGTCTCCAAGCCAAGCGGTGTGTGTTCAGATGCTAACGTGTGTGGGATGCGCTCTCCACTGGCAGGCAGAGCCACAAGGGCCGGGCACTCACCGGGGTTGAAGAGAATGGCTCCTTTCAGGTAGGCATATTCCTTGGGACTCAGGTCCAGGCTCCAAAAGGTGTTGAGGCAGCACTGTAGCCGCTGCACGGCGGCCAGCGTGGGCTGCATCCGCTCGGGCTCCTCTCGTTTGCTTTGGCCGTCGAGGAGGATCTTCTTAAGCATGCTGGGGGCCGGGGTCTCCATCACCTCGAAGGTCACCATCTCCTGGACGAGCCCCAGGAGGAAAAGAGGGACCCAGCAGCTGTCCAGCAGCAGGAGTTGATCCTCTCGCGGCAGCAGGTGGAAGGAAGGGAGGTTTTTCATGAAGTTGATGGTTTTTACCAGCACGTTGGAGGCTGCCTGGCAGGTGACGTGGGGTGTGCGGAGGCAGACGGTCCGGCGCTGGTGGCAGAGGCAGCGCTGGTGGGCTGGGCTGCGGCTGCCCCGGCTATGGTTGAGGTTCTGGCTGAGGAGGGTGTAGAGGATGGCGGTGCGCTTGTCGTCGCTGTGGCACTGGCACCTCTCACAGTCCACGTCCATGCCGCTGGTGGTCATAACTGTGCCGAGTGGCCGGATCCTCGGTGAAACTCAGGTCCTGCTACAGCAGATGGGAGAGAGACGTAAAATCCCTCCCAAACCCTCTGTCGCAGGCTGGATTCTCTCCCCGTCCTCTCGGCTCTGCCAGCCCGTGCCTGCTCAAAGCAGCTCTTATAAGGCTGGGTCACCAGTGAAACACCCCTCCACAGCCTTGACCGCTCTGTGATTAAGCAGTCCTCATTAAAAAAAAAAAAAAAAACAACAAAAAAACCCCAGCCATCCCTGGGCTGATTGGCTGGGGCAAACGAGTTCTCGGCGCGGCGTCAACGGCTGTTTTCTCAATGAAGCGCCAGCGGTGCAGGGAGGGGGATGGCGGGTTGGGCAGCCTTATCACCATCACCCCAACAGTATAAACAAAGTCATTAACCCAGCCTGTACCATGGCACCAAGGCCCCAGCTGTCATCGGGCAGTGCCGTACGGTGTGTGTCGCTGCCAGGAGGTTCACACACACACACACACACACACTCTCTCTCATCTGGGCCCTGTGTTCAACGGCCTGTACGCTCCGGCCTTGGAAAGAGCAACCTGGAAGTCGTTTTATCAGCGGCTGTTTGCGTAACCTTGCTGACAGGAGCCACATGTCGTTAGGAACCCAGCGATCTGACAGACTGTAGTATTCAATTCCAGGCAGGGCCCGTCCATCGGTTCATGTCTCTCAGAGGAAACACGGGCCAGGGGAAGGGCAAATTGTCAGATTTTTCATCTTGAATTACCAGGTATTTTTACCCATTGGCCAAATTAGAGGCAGGAATTGAGCTTCTAATGGCTGATTTCCAAGGGGCCTGGTGGCAGGGCGAGGGATTGCTGTGGCAGAGGGTGTCCCCCGGGATGGCGGTAACTCAGCCGGAGGAAAGGCCAGATCCTTGGCCCGCCAAGGAGCGGGGAGGACACAGAAGGGACCGAGGGGCAGCTGATAGAGCCGGGACCGGCACCGGGACCAGCACTGGCACTGCGGCGGCAGCTCCCGCGGCGGCAGCTCTCCAGGGCCGCTCCCCATCACCATGGCTGGTGGTCGGGCGCCCCCGGGAAGGCAGAGCAAGGCCCGGCCGAGACACGGAGCAGAGCCCGCGGTTCCCGGGCGACCTCTGACCCCCCGCGGGGTCACAGGCCTCCGCCGAGTTTTCTGGAAAGGCCGGGACCGACCGTCGCTATAGCAACCGGATCCCCGCGCCTCGCGTCCCGCCTCCTTCCGGCGGATTGGACGCGGCCGCGACCAATCCGCGAAGAGAGCGGGGCGGACGGGCTCTGGGATTGGGGGGAGGGGGGGTGAGGGTGGAGCGCGCGCGTGCTTCCGTTCGCTCCGGCTCCGGTTCCGGTTCCGGTTACCGGTGTGAGGGGGGCTGAGGCGGCGGCGGCAGGATGGGGCTGAGCGCGGAGGAGGCGGCGGAGCAGGAGGATCGTTTCGATGGCATGCTCCTCGCCATGGCCCAGCAGCATCAGGGCGGCGTGCGCGAGGTAGCGCCGCCGGGCCCGGGCCCGGGTGCGGGATGGGGCGGGAGAAGCTTTTCCGTATTCCCGGGGGGTTGTGGGG